AGATCAAAGCCATCTTCGAGCAGTTCACCACAATCCTGGCGGCCTGCGTCAGCGTGGAGAGAGTTTCGGAACACGCACCCAGCCAGGACCTCCCAGCTCTAACCCGAGGATTCCGAGGATCCCCGTCTCCAACGAGACCTTCCATAATGCCCCCAGAGCTGGAGTTCGTTCGAGATACCCGCCCCGCAGTGAAGCAGCTGAGGCCAAGGCGCCGTCAGCCCTACCTCCAGCCCGCGCGGAGGCGAAGGCCCCCGCAGCCTCGCCGCCAGCTCGCTCAGCGGGCGGGTAACAGCTTCAGTTCTGTCACACTGAATGCGTCTTCCTTGGGGGTGGGCCAAAATCTACATCGACCAGGCCCCCATGGAGGTAACAGCAATGCTCATTCAGGAGCACAGGCTCCGATCCTTTCAAATACCAGATATCCAGCATGCGCTCGGCATCCATGTTGGGTCAGCTACTGGGGCCCCTGTTTAGTCACCTCCTGTAGACGTAATTTCGGTGGGGGGGGGGCGGGCATTTTCGTGCGTCGACATTTAGATTCCTGGCGGCCGTCCGCGTCCAAGGGTGTCTGGGCCCCTGGGAGAATAGCACGCGCATATACAAGGACCCGCAGTTTTGGGATTGTCAGTCTACATTCTAACTACTGGGTGGACAGTATTGGGGCAGGACGCGCCAATGTGGTTCTATCCAGAACCCTGGGGTCGCACACCTTGAAGACAGGGATCCCTTTTCGTCGCGGGCGGTGAATTCAACGTAAACCCGGAGACCCAATCGGAACCCCTGGGCTCCGAAAAGTACAGAGCAGAGATTTTCGCCCCGATCGAGCGCGCGTGCGTCGCCGGTGGCAGGACAATCATAGAGCACGTCTTAGTTGGTGCGGTGCTAGCCTTCAGTTTCGAGCGCGTCGCTGTCGATCAGAACGCGCGCACTCCGCCGCGCAGGCCCGTCACAGCGGCCCTGGGCAGCGCTGCCGAGGACATTCGGGTTGAAATATTGAAAGCATATCAGAAGATCCCCGCGGCGGCCGGGTGGGGCCCCAGCCAGAGCCCCCAGACTACACGGACCTGAACCAAGAAGTCAGTGGACTGCTCGAGGATTTTCGACGCCAGTTAGGACATGGTTTTAGAACTCCAGCGAATGTCGGGGAGAAGTCCATCCCCAGGCCTCCCTCGACCGCATCTACCCGGCCTGGGCAGCGAGGACATGGGGGAACTGAAGGGGAAGTTTCAGGTGGTAGGACCCACGGGTCTGGAGGGAAGAGAGCCGTTCCAGCTCGAGCAGTCGAGGCTATCCGAGTTGCCCATCACCAGTCGGAACCCTCTCTCAAGGCGAAGCAGGAGTAGTTGCTGGATGATTAGGAGGTAGAAGGAGTTGAGGAGCCTGACCTTACATGAGAATAGTAACCTGGAGCAGCTCGCCCAGCATGCGTTTAACCGAGGCGGGCCATTCAGGGCTCCGCGGAAGACCCATGGCGAGGCGAGTTCTGGCACGCCCGGGCGCGCGAGATGGGCGTTCCTGCCTTCGACCGCGACGGCCGCCCCGTCTTTCTCGCTGGGGCCGATGTTTGGATTGGGATATTGGAGGGGCTTCATAGCATCGATATTCAGGAGGAGAGGAAGAAGGTCAGCAGAAGGCGGGGGAGTGGTGCGCGGAGGCCCCGGCTGGAGGAGCGAGGAGAGCACGCAGCACCACCGAGACCACCAATGGTTTCACAGAGGACATCTTGGAGCACGCTGAGGGAGGCCGCACGTCCGCGTTCGGGGTTCTTCGCCAAGAACGGCACGGCATTTGGTCCAAGGCCTGGGGGGCTCACTGCAAGCCCATGGAGTTCCCAGATGATGACCTCGACTACTGGATCCCTGCAGGGCCCACGCCAGAGCAGCTCAAGAAGATCTCCGCGGGGTTCAAGGTCAACGCCACAGCGGTTGACGGGTGCCACCCCAAGCACTTCTCGATGGAAGATATTTTCGATGTCATGGACATGTTAGGCACGGGCCCCTCGGCCCCCAAGAGGGCCATCGCTGCCCCGTTTAGGAAAGCGATCGGGCGCCGCCCCATCGGTTTCTTCAAGGGTTTCAGCAGAGTTTATTCTCAGGGGGCTCACTGCAAGCCCATGGAGTTCCCAGATGATGATCCCTGCAGGGCCCACGCCAGAGCAGCTCAAGAAGATCTCCGCGGGGTTCAAGGTCAACGCCGCAGCGGTTGAGGGGTGCCACCCCAAGCACTTCTCGATGGAGGATATTTTCGATGTCATGGACATGTTAGGCACGGGCCCCTCGGCCCCCAAGGGGATCATCGCTGCCCCGCTTAGGAAAGCGATTGGACGCCGCCCCATCGGTTTCTCCAAGGGCTTCAGCAGAGTTTATTCTCAGGGGCTCACTGATCACTGCCGCCAATGGGAACGAGTGGCAGCCAAGTGGGGCCATTTCAACATCGCCCCGCATAGGCGCACCACAGACTCAGCTCGGAGAGCAGCAGCGAGAACAGACCTGGCCGACCA